CCCCAAAACCCCAAAACCCCAAAACCCCAAAACCCCATAATAAAAAATATAGGTATTAAGTTGAAGATATATAAATTTGTAATTCAAAAATTTAAATGGAAAGCTAAATAACCTTGCAAAAAGAGAAAGAGACTAGCAACTCAGTGATTTTTAGAGTAGATGATTCAAGTGTTGATCAGGAAGCTGAGTAAGAAAAATTAAAACAACTGCAGTTGAAATTCTCTGACATTGAGAAATAGAGACAGGCTTCTAAAAAGGAAAGAGTTGATGAATAAGATAAAGAAAAAGACCCTGACGAAGATTTCAAATTGATCGATCAAAAGTTTAACAAATCTTTGCAAGAAATCACATCGTAGTTAGAAGTGTGGAATAGTATGGGTGGAGATAAAGAGAAAATGGAAAAGCATTTTGAAGACCAGTTTGCATCGTATCGTTAATTGAGAGATTATATAGCAACTTATGCCTATTCAGTTCCAACATATTAGCTTCAGTAGTGCTAGGCAGGCTTAGATCAGCTTAATGAGAAAATAACAGCTTAAAAGGAACTAGCTTTCCCAAAAAAGAAGTTTGCATTTGTCAGAAAAACTCAACCTAAAGCAGAAAAGAAAGATGAGGAAAAGAAAGAGACTTCAGTAGGTGCAACTTAGAGTACTATTGTAAATAACTCTCTGGGAAATCATCTATTGATCAAAGATTAATACAATAAGAATATAAAAAAGACAGAGGAGGAATACTTTGGAAAGGAAAATGTGATTATTGAAGGGTTGGAGAACTGTAGTATTTATTTGCCCTTCCTTGTTAAAAGTCTCTATATCAAAAACATCACTGATTGTAAAATTTTTGTCGGAGCCGTATCTGGAGCTAGTTTTGTGAATAATGCAACTAATTGTGAAATCTATCTCTGCTCACATTAGATTAGAATCCACAACTCTGCTAAAACCAAATTTTTCTTGATTGCAAAGAGTAATCCAATTATTGAACATTGCAAAAACATGCTATTTGGGACCTACAATTGCACTTATCAAAATCATGAGCAACATTTGAAAGAAAGTTCATTGTTTTAGATAAAGAATTTCTGGAATCTCATTTTAGACTTTAACTGGCACAGACAAGACAAATCACCTAACTGGGATATTATTTCAGATGATAGTGAGCATTATAAGGAAACAATAGATCTTGATTAGGTCTAGGTTTGAAATAGATAGATTGATTAATTAATATAAGAATATATGTAAATGGTTTTCTTAATTAAAATCAAATAATATTGCAGCTTTTGTGATAAGCCTTTTAATTAGTATACAAAATCTTCGTTTAGATATGCTTAAAAAATAAATTCAACTTTCAAAGGAAAAAAGGTATTAATCATTAGTCAATATTGTTTTGAATTTTATATCTTCTCATTCTTATTTGGGAGGATGCTTGATTTAAGGCTGGATCATTTTGCATCATATACATGAGGTGCTATCCAGGATTAACTAGACCACCATCACTCATGATACTTTAATTGATATCCCCAGGATTTCCTCCTAATTCTTAGTTAAATGTCATTCCATTACAGTTGTTAAGATGGAAATAGAGTTAGTTATTGTAGTTATTGATATTATTTACATGAGGAGTTTAAATGATAGTGATTGGTAAGGATGGGTTATTGCTAGTACTTATCATAGACTAACTCATATCATTATTACTATTTTATGGCTTATTCTATTTATTCTTCTTATGATCATGCTCATATGTTGCTGTATTTTAACTAGTTACGTTTAAATCATTTGGTACATTGCCTCCAAAAGTAGTTTTATTGAGATTATTAATCATAACTTGTTTTTAGGACATTTTAAGGATTGATTCATCAGGACCTTTAGAGTTTCTTGTCCCACTCAATGATTGTTAACCTTGTCCTATAATAGTTGATTTATTTTAGCTCTTAGATTTAGAGTAAAGCTTCTTTCTGAAATTAGAGATGGCCTTTCTTTGCTTCATTTAAGATTCAATAGGAGCTTAGACTGGCATGTGATTACTCATTCTTGGCTAGTTAATCTATTCGAATTAATTTGCATAAAATTATTATTAAGAAGGTTGCATCATTTATTGGCTTTAAATAGGAGTTTACATGAGCTACGATGGATTAATAATTTGTGATTTGTTTATGCCACCATCATTTTACATCGCCATTTGATACATTTATGGAATATATATCTAGGAATTATTAAGCATTTAGTTATTTCTCAAGAACATTGCTTAGTTAAGGTTAGGGTCGATCATCAAATTTTGATTGTTTTATGAGTAAATTGGTGGAATGTTCTATTGACTATAATTCATTTATGGGTAGCTGGGATTGCTTTTTCTTCTTTGAATAATTTGTCGGTTATACGGGGCTCTATTTTTATTATAATTTGTGGTTGATTGTGCATAAGGAAAAATTTATGCCATTTACTTCATTTGTAAGTAATTTGCTGACACTTATTACATTGATCCTGATTGCTAATTTGGTAGATAGAATTAAGAAGGTGGTTACTGATTTTAAATGTGAGAGTTATTTAGAGGTATTCTAGTAGCTGCAGAATGAGGGAAATGAGGAGGTTGATATAGCTAAGATTGATCAATGAATGGATTCATATTCATGTACTATGTATTTGGATCCTAAATGGTCAAGTGATTGTACTGAGGCTGTTAGTATGGATGACCAGTTTGGTGTCTAATTGGTATAATTGGAGAAATCTCCCTTCTATTTGAAAAAATAGCTTGATCTTAATGTTGATTAATCTCACCATCTTTCTAAGGAATGTTTGACTTATTTCTAAAACTTAAGCTGCTTCTTTTAGATGAAGTCGCGTTTTGATTTTAAGATTAATTTTACACTGACTATCTTCGATTCCCCATTTTACTTCCTCGACTACTAAAACTATTAGTTCTACTTCTTACGCTACTGGGAGTGCGCTTATTCTATTAGTTTTCATTGCCTCTATTTTGAATGTTATCGTTTTATCTTTTATTGTTTATGTTTCTATTCGCATTTTTTTCTGATTTTTCTATCGTTTAAATATGATTACGATCATCCTCCTCTTTTTTACTCTCTTGCTCGTTTTTATTGGGGGTGCTTCCACTTCCTCTCTTCACAAATAACTTATTGAAATCTAAATTTTGCAGAAGTTTTCGAGCTTTAAGTTAACTATCTACACTTAATTTAGGGGCTTTAGCTGGTTTAGTAGGTACTCCACTGTTAAAAGTCTTGTTTACCTTATCTTTGTCTTCCTTTGAGGATTCAACCATGCTTTTATTGATAGTGTCTGTTTCTCTATCTTCAATGGCTGATAGATTAACTTTATTTTTAGGATGTTAATCATTCGGCTATTTCTGTGCTTAATTTGGCTTGGATTAAGTCTAAGATTGCTCTTTTCCCTTTTACTACTTTTACTATTTATATTACTCTTCTATTTATAACAATTTTTAATCTTCTTACTAGCCTTTTTATGGTTTAAGCTATGTTTATGAATGAATGTTGAAATGAGATGGTAAGATTCCTTATTATTCATATCGCTTGTGTAATAAATAGTATACCGTTGTAACTTAATTATGCTTATTATTATTAAGGCATTTCTAAGCGTAATCAGCTTTAAAACCAAATTATTCAAGCATTTCAACTATTTTAGGCTCAACTGGGATTATATTTTCACCAATAATAAGACCTTAGTTTTCACAAATGGGTTGAAATTATTGATACCAGGCATGAGTTTTAATATCATCAGCTTTATATCTTTTATCTGGGTCAGTATTCAAGACCTTTTTTATAAGATCTTTGCCATTTGTTGAAACAAACTTTGGAATTTGTACGTCTCCTTTAAGAATTTTATTGTATAACTTAGCTGTATCTGGATCCTCAAAAGGTAAATAGCCGCAGATCATAGCATAAAGAATAACGCCACAACTCCAAATATCTACTTTTGAACCAAAATATCTCTCACCAGCAATCATCTCCGGTGCTGCATAACAAGGAGAACCACAAGCAGTTTTTAATGTAGCACCTTTCTCATAAGTATTGGAAAGCCCAAAGTCAACAAGCTTGATATTGTTTTCATGATCAAGCAGTAAATTTTCAGGCTTTAAATCTCTATGAACGATATTGAGTTGATGTAAATATTCAACACCTGAAATAATTTACTAAAAGAACTTGCAAGCCTCTTTTTCCTTTAATCTTGAATTGGCAACAATGTAATCGAATAATTCTCCTCCACTAGCATATTCCATGATCAAATACAGCTGCTTAGGTGTTTCAATGATCTCATATAACTATATGATGTTTGGGTGTCTGATGAGTTTCAAAATCTTAATCTCTCTTTCCACTCTTTCAACGTCGGCATCCTCAGTTATTTTATCTTTCTCAAGAATTTTAACTGCAACCTACATAAAATTATTAGTGATATGATTGCAGATACTTACCCTTTCTCCTGTAAGGATATGAGTCCCTAGTTTTACTTTACCAAATGTACCTTCTCCAATTGCTTTTCCTATTATGTAATGACCTATACTCTTAGTTCTTTGGTCCTATTTTCCTTTTTTAATGTTTGCGTGAGCTTATCTTTACGCTTAATTCTGAATAGCAAGAGCTTCTTTGACATTTATTGAGGAATCATTTGCTTTACTTGGGTGTTCATCTTGAAAACTATCATTAATCTATTTCTGATATGATCTATCTTTATCTTAAGAGGGTTTCTTTTGTCTTTTGTTAGAAACTTGATCAGACAAGATAAATTCGTCGATCTCAGCATCGTTATTATATTTTGTAATGGATTTCATAATTTATAACAATTATATTTTATTAAAATTTAATGCTTCGCGTTCTTATTCTTGCTGGGGTTTTGGGGTTTTGGGG